TTTTTTCACCAATCATGGCAATGATGGCATAGATTCTTATGTAACACCATGCAGCCAATCAGACCATCATTTGGTCCTGCTATCTGATCATCTCTCAACTGACTGATGGAAGGAAATGTCGGGGTAACTCAAAGTATCTTAAAGGTATAATCCAATTTTTTTTTGTTTTTTTGCAGAACACACACACAAAAAAAACAAACAAAACAAAAAAATCTATATATATATATTGCAAATCCATATCATCCATAATATTTTACTTTAACAAGGAGCATCAGTAGTACCTCCTGCTTACCTCCACACATACTATACTGCTTTTCTCTGCAAGCATATTTCCACTAAGCTTAATTGTGAACCACATTCTGTCACAATATAACATATAGTGCATGTATACCCTGCTGAATAAAGTGCTTCACTGTTTCTCAGAAGATCATTTTAAAGGTATAGAGCACCCAAATATTTAGTTTACTCTTCCACAAGCTGTCCCAATCCTGTATGGCTTCCTTTCTTCTTTATATTGAGTGGTCTATCAGTGTATTGGAGGTATACTGACTTGCATTGCATAAACAAAAACAGTTGAAACATTCCTCAATATATCTTCTTTGTGTGGTTCACAATTAAGCTTAGTGGAAATATTCTTGCGGTAAAAAACGGTATAGTATGTGTGGAGGTAAGCAGGAGATGCTACTGATGCTCCTTGTTAAATTAAAATATTATGGATGATATGAATTTGCAATAACAGTCAACATTAATTGTACTGTCTCATTCCTGCTGATGTAAATGGCAAAAGCTTGTAGTAAATAATGTTCTATAAATAAAGTGCTAGGCTGTGTTTCAAAGCTGAAAAGGCTTAATACTGAAAGAGAAATAAATACCTTCACATTCACACACTGCCCTTGCTTAACATGCACATTTTTCACATGCAAATATTACATCACTGCTAAATAAGCTAAATCAGAATGTGAGGTTAAAACTTTATTTGAAGTTTATCATTATCATTTATCTTAGATAAAAAAACAACAACAGATACTTAAAAGGAACTTTTGTCATATTAACTCAGATTTCAGTTTCAGATTTTTTGGACGCTTGGGTTTTCTGACCTTTCATATAATGTTTAACTGCTAACCTGGCAGAGAGATCGATTCCTCAGTCAATGTATGCAGAGACAGAACCACATGTCCCTTTAAAATAAATGTTTGCATAGGAAAACATTAAAACAGGTGGTCAAATAGTAGGAATCTCATCTGGCTTTAGTTTTTTTAAGACATCCATCAAAGATGTAATAAACTCATGGGTACAATAGTCAGTTTCATGTAAAATTTTAAATTACATATGTTGATGCAATAAATGCTCTATGCAATTGAGAAATCCGACGTGCCATATCCAACTCTCCACACGCTCATTTAATCGGCAAGAGTGATGGGTAAACATTTTATTTGCCTTGACTCAACTTCAATATGATCTAAGCATGCCTCTATCTTATTTTCATTTATAACTTCATTTCAATGCAAGGTGTTTGCATTGCTGCTTATGCAAAGATATAAATATCCCAGAACTATTGTACAACCTACAATGATGTAACTTCATCAATTTACAACATGGCCACCACAATAATGAACTGTCCGTGAACCTCAGTTTTGTGTATGACCATACTAACAGACACAGACTGGAGAGAGGATGTAGATGTCCTATAAACCTAAATCAGTCTTCAGGCTTTACACTGACAGCAACATAGATGATACATGCACAGTGGAGCTCTTCAAGCCTCACACACTGGATGCTTGTGGTTTCAATAGTAGCCATCCTCTGGCTATCATCATTCATGGCTGGTCAGTATGTTGAGTTCATTGATTTAATAGAAAAACAGATCAATAGTTCAAATGTACAAAAGGTCGTGAAGACCTTGGCATGGATTGCAAACAGCTAAGCAGAGTTATTTCTAATCTGGTAAAGGCAAAATTGACAAAACTATGAGACGTGATGCATATTGCAGTAGGCTCATCCAAAAACAAAAATCCTCCTCCCTGTGCTGTAGGTGGACGGAATGATGGAGAACTGGATTTCCAGGTTGGTATCAGCACTAAAGAGCTCAGAGGGAAGCATCAATGTAGTGATTGCAGATTGGCTGACTCTGGCACACCAGCACTATAGCTGTGCAGAACACACGCATTGTCAAGTCAAGTCAAGTCACCTTTATTTATATAGCGCTTTTAACAATACAGATTGTGTCAAAGCAACTGAACAGCATTAATTAGGAAAATAGTGTCAATAATGCAAAGTGACAATAGTAAACACTCATTTTTCAGTTAAAGACAGTTCATCATTCAATTCAGTAATGTCATCATCCAGCTCAGCTCAGTTTAAATAATATCTTTGCAATCATGTCAACGATATTGCTGGAAATGAAGTGTCCCCAACTAAGCAAGCCAGAGGCGACAGCGGCAAGGAACCAAAACTCCATCGGTGACAGAATGGAGAAAAAATCTCCTTGTGGGACAGGACATTGCCCACCTGCTGAGATGGCTAGAGGTGAGGGTTAGTTTGGGAATACAAATCTCCTTACAGTTATGGATGCAGAATTTATTCCCCAAGGGAATAAATACTACCATCCTTACATCATATATGGAACTGATTGACTTTCAGTAGAATGCAGAGGGGTTTGGGGTCGGAATTTTTTTTATTTTTATGTTTTTGAAAGAAGTCTCTTATGCTCTTATTTACTTAATATACAAAATCAGTAAAAACTATTTACAATTACAGTTTAAAATAACATTAAAAAAAATAAAAAATAATTTAATAAAAAATAAGTCTTCAGTGTCACATGATCCTTCAGAAATCATTCTAATATGCTGATTTAATGCATAAGAAACATTTCTTATTATCAGTGCTGTCAGGGCAAATAGCCTCACAGGCAGCATTCCAACATGTAGTGTCTTTTCTAACATTATAAATGCCTGTATAATGTCATGGTTGATCAATTTAATGCATACTAGCTGAATAAATTAAATGTAGTGTAAATAGCTTTGTTTGCTAACGTCTGTAACTGTAAAAATTAATAGGGGAAAGATAGTTAATTAAATGTCCTTTCTTTCAAAAGTTTGAGGTCAGTATGATTTTTCTTTTTTAAGAAGGCTCTTATGTTAACCCAGGCTACATTTGATAGATAATAAAATACAGTAAAACAGTAATATTGTGAATTACTACAAATTGAAATAAGCCTAACACTTTTCTATTTCAATATAGTTAAAATGTAATTTATTCCCGTAAAGGCACTGTTGAACAAAGACAAGCAGATTATGGCCTACAAGTGCAGTGACAACACAGCTTTCGAAAAAGGCTACTGTCTGGACTGCCGAAAGAACCGCTGTAACACTTTGGGTTATCAAGACATCAAGAAAGTCCGCACTGGCACAAGCAAGAGACCGTTTCTTAACACCCGCTCACACATGCCATATAAATATGAGAAACAGCTATAACAACTCAAAAAAAGTGTAAAGCAGTCAATTCCTACTGTTATGTAAAAAGGGAGATGATGTCCTCTAGCTGTTAAACTGCTCTCCCAAATCCAAATATTTTTAATAGCAAAACAAATAAATACAAAAAATGCACACGCAAACATATAGGGAAATACTTTTTAAATACATTTTTTTGTTTTCTTCAAAAAATGTTTTAAATATGTATAAAGATTTTAAGTATGTTTAGACATTTTATTGGGAAGCAAATCTAAAGACAGTTACTGCTTAAGAATACATTTTTTGTGCAAGTCATGTTTGTGATTACTTGTATTTGATTGTTTTCCAGTTGTTTTTGGAAAAATATAATCCGTTCTAACCTACCATCACTTTCCTTCCCCATTAGTGTTTCACTATCAAATCAGGATCCAGTTCATCAACCAAACTGATAAGATCGAGCCCACCCTCACAGTCTCTCTAACCGGGACACTGGGAGAAAGTGAAAATTTACCCATAACACTAAGTATGCAATTTACATTGATATCAGCAGCTGAATCTTAAGAGAACATCACCTTAATGAGCTTTGTAATGATTTTCTCATCATCATCCATATCATCATATGGATACATTTGTGGTTTCTGCCATTTAAAAAGCTTTTTGCTGTTAATCATCATCTCCAACCAAAATAAAGCCTATGTAACAATACATCCATTTGGTAGTGTATAATTACAAGAACATACGTTAAAATAAATGTAAAATTAGTACAATTCATAAGTATGGTTGGTTCATAAGTAAAAGCTTAAATTAATGTGACAGTAGCAGAGCTCTTGATTTAACAGTAAGCCAAAGATTCTTTAATGAAAGACTGCTTGATAACATTTGGGACGAAAAACATCAAAGTTTTATGTTCTGGCCTCTAAAAGCACAAAGTAACATGCTCCGCTTCAAGGGGAAATCACTTTAGTCCGCACACAGAGAGCTCTCATCAGAATACCTCATTTCACATGAATGAATGAACATGTGTGCTGAGAACATGAAACAGAGAGCAGAAAACTGCAGGGAAGTATGCAATGGGCTAAAATAGCATCTCGAACAAAAGCATGCACACACATTTACGCATGCAGGCTAACAGTGCTTTTTCGCCAAATTGTTGTTTATTATAGGAATCTAAAAATTCCAGATGATGGAAGTGTTAAAAGCAGATCACTACAGATTCAAAAGGAATCAACTGCACACTCACATAGAAATAAACGGTTAAGGTAAGGTAAGGTAAGGTAAGGTAAAGGGTAAGGTAAGACTAAAGATTAAGAGCCTGGATTCAGCATTTAATGATCTAAATGACCTTTAATGCCTCAGTATACCAGATTTTAAACAAATGGACAAGATGAATAGATAAGACCATATCTCAACTACTGTTAAGTAGAGAAATACAGAAATAACACAAAGAATTTATTTTTAAAGCAGACACCAAAAAGCTTCTAACTGTTTTCTTAACATTGTCAAGCTTCCATTTCATGTTTTGTTACATTACAATCAAACAGTAGTATTAGACATTTTCTCCATCTTGTTTTTCATATTCTATCCACACCATGCTTACATATCAGTGCACATTATTTATAAACTTAAAGCAAGACCAGCAAAAAAAAAAAAATAAAAATTAAAGCCTAAGCCAAATCCCCTTACAAATTCAACCAAACCCATTTACCACAGAATAACAGAAATTATTAATTAATTTGAAGCCAATTGCAGTCAAAGCAGTAAAGTTAAGCTCACTAAAAACCCTTTTCCCATTAACATTTACAGAGACACACAAATGAGGTGATGATTTAGATCAAAAGGAGGACTTCTAGTCGGGAATACTCATCTTCTAGGAATAAGCAAATCATCCATGTTTTAAATGCACATCCTTAAAGGATGCAAGGTTGCTTGGGAAGACAGACTTTAGAAACATCGGACTCTCAGTCGCGCTACCAGGATCCTATTCAACAAAATTAAATAGATGACAAAATATTCCTGGTCTGGTAAAATACAAAAAAAAGCCAAAAAAGAGAAATTTAAAAAAGGACATTTGTGATGCATGAATTATTTGCAACCCTCTGCCTTTGTTGAGACACACACATAAGACAATCAAAAGCACATTTAGAGAAAATGGAAGGATTTCTTTCAAAAAAAGATGTTGGACTGCAATGATATGGTGAAATTACCATGGGCTGGTTCAGATACACTAAATAGCAACACAAGGCATATGCTTTGATTATATAGGCTGCTAGTTTGGATCTTTTCTTTTTTTAGCTATTAAAAGAGGTAATAACTGAAAACTGTTAAGAAAAGTTCCTTTGTATAAATATTGATTGGTGTGTAAAAACACTCCAAAGGATCTACAGATTGCTTCTATCATCTCTCTCTCTATCCCATCCTTTCACGAATGCACACCACCCAGATTTACTCATTTGTGTAACTGTTCACACTTTCCTGTTTCCGACATCCTATTGCAAAATAAAGACCTTTTATGTATTTAAAAACCAAATCTTTCCTGATGTGCTTATTTTCTTAAGACTGTCTCCTGTGGGACCAGTGTTACTGACTGAACATAAAGTAACAGTGACTCTCAGCAGATCAGGATTCTTATAAGAGTGACATATCTTTTTTAACCATCATCTCTCTCATTAACTCCCTTGGCCACATGGAATGAAGAACTGCAGCTATTTAGTGGTTATTTATCAGCTGGGGGTGGGGTGCGCTGCACAAATGTGGCTTTCAGCAAAGGCCTTTCACCAATAGAAATTCTATTAATCCGATTATTTCCTATTATATCCTGAGTGTCAGTTAAATATCCTTAATTATCATTATCCAACAGAATCAAAAAAATGACATGAGTGAAAAAGATCCCATGTATTTTGTGATCTCTGTACAATTGCACGCAGGAGACAATGAGAAAGCTTCAGAAATAAAAGCTTTTTAATCCTTTTGCTTGCATTAAAAAAAAAAAACATCTTAATTACATATTGGAAAACGAGTCTCTTTAAAGAGTTCTCTCAGCCATTGTTGATTGGCAGAAATATTTTTGTGACATCCCATCATGCTTATCTCCACAGGAGGGTGGCAATCCAAAAAAAGAAGATAAAAAGGCATAAGAGGGGAAAAAAAAACTTTAGTGGAGAGAATAATGGTTTAATAACTTGAGAAAAAATATTTAAAGCAGAAAAAAAAATTGATTCATTGATTCTGTCCTCTTCCTCATGACTAGCTTCTGAATTTTTTCTCTGAGCTACGCAACGAAAGCTTTGCTGGCTCCCAGAGCAGTGGTTTCTTAATCTTTAAAACTGTTGTTTTCTTAATTATAGTCCTTTGAAGTCCTTTTATTTGCCAGTTTCTTAGTTTGTTGATGGGGCTTCATTGATTGATTCAGCTAACTCTTTGGAGTGAAGTGTTTCCCACTGTAGGCACTAGGAAGAACCAAGGCAATGAGGAGGACTTCTCAGTGTCGCATCTGGCCCATCTGATAGTTCTCTCTCTGCTGGCGATGGTGCTGTGGCTGGGTCTGTGCAGCGGGATTTCTTCTTCTCTTCAGTGTGCCTAGAGAATAACATACAGATATGATTAATCACCTTATGTGCAGGGGTTAAACTAGGTTTTTGGAGGTAAGGGAATTCTTCAAAATTAGAGACATGACCTTGCTGAATGTTGCCTCTACCAGAGCCCACCACTCTAATAAACATATATTCTGCACTTTAAATAGTTGAAGTTTTTCTACTACAGAAAAACTGGATGTTTTGTTTTTTAAGGTTGTACCCTGGACTAAAATTCTGGCTTTAAGCCCAAGGTTTTTACATGTACGCTAGGGTATGCATACAGTGGCTCCATGGATTGGACTTATTTGTTCAGCACATCCCACAGATGCTCAACTGGATTGAGATCTGGGGAATTTGGAGGCCAAGTCAACACCTCAAACTCCTTGTTGTGCTCCTCAAACCATTCCTGAACCATTTTTGCTTTGTGGCAGGGTGCATTATCCTGCTGAAAGAGGTCACAGCCACCAGGGAATACTGTTTCCATGAAAGGGTGTACATGGTCTGTAACAACGCTTAGGTAGGTGGTACGTGTCAAAGAAGCTTCCACATGGATGGCAGGACCCAAGGTTTCCCAGCAGAACATTACCCAAAGCATCACACTGCCTCCGCCGGCTTGCCTTCTTCCCATAGTGCATCCTGGTGCCATGTGTTCCCAAGGTAAGCGACGCACACGCACCCAGCCATCCATGTGATGTAAAAGAAAGCATGATTCATCAGACCAGGCCACCTTCTACCATTGCTCCGTGGTCCAGTTCTGATGCTCACGTGCCCACTGTTGGCGCTTTCAGCAGTGGACTGGGGTCAGCATGGGCTATGCAGTCCCATACGCAACAAACTGTGATGCACGGTGTATTCTGACACCTTTCCATCAGAACCAGCATTAACTTCTTGAGCAATTTGAGCTATAGTAGCTTGTCTGTTGGATCGGACCACACGGGTGAGTCTTCGCTCCCTACGTGCATCAATGACTTCATTTACATGGACATTAGTAATCTAATTATTAACCTTATTCTAAATAAGCCACTGCTTTTAGAATTTTCCTTTCATGTTCCCCTTTTACATGTTATAGTACATAGTTCGATTAATGGCACATGTCATTACATCCCACGTGACGCCATCCGACGTCCCCTCCGGATTTCATGTATAGTTACATATAGTTAGTCTTCGTGATTATGCCATGTACAGTTTTGTGTGTTTCCTTTTGAATTTTAAGAAAGCTTCAAGTGCAGTTAATTATTTGTTCGTGCACACAGACGACGGCGGGTGTTGAAGCTCTTTTATTTGCCGTCAAACGGTTGAGCACTGCCGTGTGTGTATCCTGTCGCAAAATGCGGCGAAAAGTCCTACACGATGGTAATAATGTGATTAAGGTGTTTACATGTCTATTCTGCACTTCATTAATGCGACTAAAATAGGAATACTCCACATGTCTTAATTCGATTTCTGTTTACTTCGAATATGACTTTAGCCGGATTAAGGTAATCAAAAATCTCTGTTTACATGATATATTCTTAATCAGAGTATTGTCTTAATCATGTTACAATTATTGTTGTCCATGTAAACGTACTCAATCAGCCTTGGCCGCCCATGACCCTGTCGCCGGTTCACCACTGTTCCTTCCTTGGACCACTTTTGATAGATACTGAGTAGGGATGTAACGGTTAACCGCGAGCCGGTTGAAAATCGATTCAAATATGTGACGATTCAAATCGGTTGAGATGCTAAACAAATCATGATTCAGTTAGGGGTAGGCGTTTATATGAATGCATGTCTGAGGGGAACTTACTGTCTTTAGAAAAGTTTAGATGGTATTTTTTCAATTAATCTTGCCTCTGTATAATGCATATTAAAGTTCATAAGTGCAGCACTGCTTTGTTTACAGCGGAAACCAGAAAACGCTTTACACGCCGCCTGCTGGCAGAGAGTGAAATTGCTCTCATTCAGCTAATCCGCTGTTTCATGCAGATATTTTTATGTATAGTTTCACAAAACTGAAGTCTAACCATTCTGTTTTTGCTTCAAATTTCAAAATTATACAATTTAATTTAGATTAAACACTGCTCATGTTGCATGTATGCAGCATCTTTGTTTGGATCAAGATTAAAATGCAATGGTTGCCTCTAATTTGAAAAGGAAAGAGCACAGACAAAGCCTTAGTTTGTTTATATGAAGAGATTTCTTTTGTGTTACTTATTTATTTGATTTGGGGCTTGTTTTAAAATTTCAATTTAGTTTTGTTATTTACATTTACATTATATTTACATTTTGTAATTTAGCAGACGCTTTTATCCAAAGCGACTAACAAATGAGGACAATAAAAGCAATCAAAACCAACAAAATAGCAATAATATGCAAGTGCTATATTAGTATATTAT